TTTTTTTTTTTATATTTTTTTATATATATTTTTTTTTTTTTTTTTTAATTTATTTATTTTTATTTTTTTGCTTCATATAATAATGAATTGGAACTGTCTTTATTTTATTGTTTTGGTGTTAGAAATTTTTGAAAACTTACCTTGAAAATGCTTAAAAAGTGCTTGAATTTTACTGTGGGAAGAGAGTGCAAACCCTGTAGTATTATTTAGTTGTATTTCTCAAACAGAGTAGGGTGTATTTTCCTTTTTTTTTTTTTTTATCATGATTGTATTTTGAAAAGCAACTTTGTTGTGATTTTGTCTGTCCTGTTGGGTGTGTTGCAGGTCCGTGCAGCTCCTCCTCCCCCAAAGCAGCATCCTCGCGGCCAGGTGAAGCGCCGGGAGGAGGTGGAGATCACGCTGGTGTGAAACTGCTCTAACACCGACACCCCCAAATAAACCGGAGGACGCTTAACGCCCCGAGAGAGCCTGGAGACGTCCGGAACCTCAGAGGGTCGGAATAATGTGCCTTTATCGTCTGTTTTTCCTGCTCAGTTAACGCAAACGAGGAACATCATCTGCTTTATCTGCATCTGGAATATTTACAATACCAAAAAAAATTACATTTTCTCTTAGTAAATTAAGGGAAGCTTACAGAAAAGGAAACAACTCGTAGTCAGCAGAGTGGATTGCACTTTAAGGAACACTTTTGAAGCCACGTTGACTTCCTGGAGGTGATTAGCTCCACATAATTTACTGATTTTCAGTAAGTTTGGCCTCATTTAAACCGGTTCACGTTAAATTTACAATTTAAAATTACCCTAAAGCTCATTAAGAAAACAAATTTAACTCTTAATTATGTTTTATCTTTTCAGCTTTTAATAATTTAAATTCTTGATTATGATGATATGTAATTTAAATTTGCATCCTCATCTTGTGTCTGGAAGTGGGCTGTCGCTTTTAGATTCAGCACAAAGTCCAGATAAAACGTTGAAATTCATAATTAAAAATGTGGCTTAGTTGCAGGTGTTAAGATTTTTGTACTATGTAACAGAAAATCTTAGCTTCTCTCATTATAATGTGATTCGTTTTATTTTCTAATTTCTTAAAAAAAATGTAAGCATTTAAATGGTTACATACCAACATGGTATTTAACAGTGTCTTATTAAAACGGCAGTTTTCTCATTGGGGAAAAAAAAAAGAAAATATATTAAAACAAAGTTTTTTTTTAGAATAAGAAAAAATGTTAAAACAGAAAAAGTTTTCTCCATAACATGAGAAAAAGACGTTAAATAAATGGCACTTGTCAAAAACAGTAAAAGTGTTGTAACAAGAAAGTTTTCTTGTTAAAAGAAGAAAAAATGTTGAATTGAAAAACGTTGACGCTGTAATGAGATATAAAAACACGCTCCTCTGACAGATTTCTTGCTTAAGAGATATTTTAGTTTTAATGACATAAAATAAATATTGTTTTAGTATTTTGTGTTTTTGATATTGTTTAAACCAGAAGGTTTTCTCGTTTAAAAGAGATTTTGCTCCTGAGTTTATTTCCTGGCAGTTAAGAGCTTCCGCACTCATCTAATGAATATTAGAGGAGGCAGGATTTAGCTGCTGATGCTAATCACCTCCTGGCTTCTTATTTATTTGTTTTCCTGCTGAAAAAGAAGAAATAACTTCCCCACGGTCCATCTTTTCAATCCCAAGCTGAAGAATACTGTGATAAACAATAAAGTTCGATTCATTTTATGGATATTTTCAGGCCATTCATGCTTTTCTTGGCCAAAACCATGCTTTTAAATTCTACTTTCAACTTGTTTAGTTTTATTTTTCAAAGTACGAATAAGATGGAAATCTTCCTAAGTGATAAATCTGTCAGAAACTACAATGTTATCCTCATTTATTTTTTATTAAATGTCACACTTTTCCATCTTACAGATTAAAATTAGTGGCAGATTATTATTATTATTATTTTTTTACATTTTTATGTGCCCAATCAGAGCGATCTTTTACTGCTAATTTTTTTTGTGTTCCTGATAAAGTAGCAGCTTCCTGATCACATGACCCGCCGATAAAATAAAACTCTGGTCTGATCCCGACTCCACACGGCCGAGGCCGGTCCTCTCCGCCTTCAACGCAGCGTAACTGGAAACAGTTACACCAACAAAGGGAAAAGTGGCAATTCTGTTTGTTTTTCTCCTTTCAGTGACTTCCTCTTTGTTTTTTTGTTTGTTTTTTTATGCCCTTGTTTTCGCTTTAGAAGCAGTTTAAGGAATCCTGTAACATAAACACACACTTAGTGTAACGTCTTGTTGTTTTTGTGTCCTGACATCCAGTTTTGGATGTTTTTGTGATGTTCAGGGTTTCTTCGCAGTCTGAGGGAAAATAAAAAAATCTGGAATATGATTTCAGGATTTTTCAGGTCTGGAAAAGTGGAAAAATAAGAGAAAAGGAAAAAAAATCTCCAGACTTTGTTCCCTAAATGCTCAGCTTCCTTCCTTCTTTATGTCTCTCTCAACCTTCTGTCTTTGTCCCTTTTTTCCCTTCCTTGTGTCATCTTTCCTTCCTTACCTCCCTCCTTCAATCCTTAATTCCATCTATTTTTTTCCATCCTTGATGGCCTCCCTTCCATCCTTCCTTATGTCCTTTATTCCTTTCTTGTATCCATTCTTCCCTCCCTCCCAGTTTCCTTCCTTGTATCCTTTTTTCCCTTCCTTTCTTTCTTGTATCTCTCCATCACTCCTTCCCTCCTTCCTTCCTTATGTTTTTATCTTTAAAATTTTAGGAATTAAATCTCGAGTTCCTTTTTGATGGAAGCCATTCAGGAACCCTGCAGATCATTCAGATTGTTCCATCTTAATGTTTTTTACCATCTGGGGCAGCTAGCAACCACTGGCCGGAGCTACTAGCAGCTACTAGCTGGAGATGCTAGCAGCTGCTAGCTGGAGATGCTAGCAAACGCTAGCTGTCCCATTTCTTAGCGAAGCACTTTCTTCACATCTTCTTGTTCCCTCTCAGTATTGTTGATGTTTGAGGTTTGTTTGAAAGCCGTATTCGTATAAAAGCATTTATTTTATCAGCTCTTTGTGTTATTTAGCCTTAAATAGCCACCGTAGTGTCTTTACTGCTTCTGTTTTTGAAACATGAATAGTTTACAGAAAACTTGGAGATGGATATCTGTAAAAGAAAAAAAAAGAAAAAATAATAATAGCATTTTCTCTGTTTGTTTCACTAGATTCAGAAATAAAGACCTTTTTATTAAACAGTAGATAATTAGATCAGAGGGAAAGAGATATCTGTCAGCCTCGTTGCTGTGTTCTCGTTGATCTCCTTGAGATCTGAATGACATCAAACTTATTTTTGAAGTTTGCGTTTACCCTGTTGTATTAAAATGAAATCAGACTGACGTCTCGTTTCCATCAGAGACGTTATTGTTGTTGTTTTAAACCTGCTACTGGTCCTGATTTAACGCCCAGTTCACTGATAAAATTCCCATTTTTAATGTTGGCTCTGCAGACATTAAATCTTCAGATTTACACACCAGTGGATGTTTGACTGTATTTATTGTGTACAAATAAATGTGAAATAAAGATAGCTTAAACGAAACAACCAAGACTCCACTCTCTTCTCTGGTTTGTTGTATTTTATATAATGAAGTCTGCAAAAATCTCAGAACTTCAGGCATGTTAGAACGGCCCTTAGCGGCTGGAGGAAGTAGGAGACTTGAGGCAGAGAAACAGTGCAATCCCACTGGGAGTTTATTCACCAACATATAACACACAGACAACCCTGCTTACAAAGGCCTAGGGTCTCAGCAGCAACCACCCTAATGTGGCCAACATGCAGCCTTTTATAGTCCCTGGCTGTTCCAATTAACAAACCCACCAAGAAACAGGGTAAAACAAAATACATACACACAAACAAACTGACAAAATAACAAAATCTTCAGAATAATATACATTACCAAATGCTATTCATTTTAAGCATCTCTAAAAACACATTTCTATCGGTATAAATATAAATCCAACATTAAATTTATAAAGTGCATAGCTCTATTGCTCCCCCTCTTCCATCTACTTTGATCTCTTCCGGAACCTTTAAAAGATGCTCTGGCCCCTAGGGAATCTTTTAGCCTGAACACCCTGCAGAGGAAGAGAGAGGTAAGCCACACCCACACAAAGCCTTCAAACATTTCAGTGCATTTCAGACAGTCACCATATACTTATATTATAGTTTGTTGTATTTTAACAGGACACCATCAGTTCCAGCTGAGATGCCACTGCATAAAAACACACAATCAATAAAATACTTCAATCTCTGTATCCGTTTCTTTTATCATTCGACATGAATTTTTTAATCATTTAACACACATTTTAAGTGTTGTACTTCCAAGTAATGAAGACCTTCATTACAAGGCATCTTCCAAATCTCAGCTTGGATTTAAGGGACGAACAGATGAACATTTCTGCAGTTTTTGTTTTTATAATGAAGAGAAAACTGGACCATCTACGCTCCAAGCTTCACCTCTGGTCTTAGACTGGGGTCTGCAACCAGCAAACCTTTAATATCTAGCTTAAGATTGTGTTAAATAAATTGGGTTTTTTAGACACAGAGATAATAAAATTTGTTCCATTGTCATACAAATTAGCCATTTCCCTTTAAATGTTTGGCATCTGAAACTTAATCATTTTAAGTGATTAGGATAAATAAATAACATTAGTTGTTCAGACTTGGTTTTTTTCTCCATTTAGATCTTAAAAGGATGCAGTTGTACCAAAAAATCCAATTTTTGTTCTAAATCTTTAATAGAGACTATTTGCAAATTAATTTGCTAAATTAGATTGTTGAAAACTCAATTTATTTCAGTAACTTCAGCACCAATTGAGACACACTGTATAGATTAATTAGACAAAAACTGATGTTTTAACACCTTAATTTTGCTTAATCACGATGACTTTCTTCTAATGGTAAATGAAAACCTGACAATTAACATTAGAATATTACATAAGACCAATTAAAAAAAAAAAAGTAGAAATGTGGGTTTAATGAAAAGTATGTTACTTCATAAAGGTTATTTCCAAATTGAAAGTGAATAGAAATTGTTTTTGGTAACTCAGACCGACATTAACCCAGGATAAGTTTAATCTGATTTAACTTCAGACAGTGGAAAAAGCATTTGTGTTTTTTTATTCAGTGCATAAGCTTCCAATTTCAACTAATTATATATCACATGCCAGTCAGCTATATGACACTTATTAAATATATAGAATAAAATGCAGTACTGAGGAAAACACTTAAATACTTAATTTCTAGTGAAACATTTATTGCCATTTTTAATCCAATCCTGAAAGGGATAATTGGGGTTATTTCTATGTCGACAACAAAAGTGAATGAATGGTTAAATATATCATTGTAATCCAAGAGAAAAGATTACAATTTATTTGAAAAAATACGTTTTTAAAATGTTTTTGTTTTCAGGAAAACAAATCACGTCATCTAAGTGTAAAAAACAAAGGATGGCACCTGTCTTGTTCTTAGCATCCCTTGTTCCGGTATTGTTTTATTTTGTAACAACACCGGAAGTCGTGTGCACTTTCGCCGCTGGGGCTTGACACTGGTGTGGAAAAGATGGCTGCTTCGGCGGCAACAGCGAGTTCTCCCCCCGGTTTGTGTCCAAATTACGCCGTGGTTTGCTCGTTCCTGGAGCGATACGGAGCCCTGTTGGACTTGCCGGAGCTCACCTTCCCTCAGCTGGAGAGATACCTGCAGGACACATCCTCAGGTAGGGCAAGAAAGCCCGCAGCAGGAGGCTCGGAGGACGCGTAGAGGCTCCTGCCTTGCATTAATGATAATGGGACTGAGCTAACGTGCTAACCGCTAATGTTAGCTGTTATTGTGTGGATTTTTTTAACCTTCGTGTTTACTTAAACTCAATTCAACCGCCTCCCAGCCATGCTATTCAAGGTTTTAAACGTCTCCCCGCATATTTCCATGTTGATTAAAACGTAAACATGTCGATTTGTTCGATGTTTTCTGTCACTTTTTAGCTTTTGAATTGAGCTTAATTTTTCCCCAGCCTTTATCTGCTTCTCGTGCAACAACACAAGCATAAATGTGCGGTGAAAACACTGTCTGTGTGTTCGTGGGCGTGATGCGAGTTCTCGCAATAAGCCGTGTAAAACTGTATGCTGCTGATAAATCGGTCAGAGTGTTACACGGATGTTGGATTATGCACTTTATTTACAGTTAAATATATTCTCAGGTAGTGGATAGCTGAGCTGAGGCTAAGTTAGCTGCAAGGGTGACGAAATCCGGCTTGACTTTCAAAATAAAACTCATTTAAATACCCAAGCAGACTTATCATCATGTATTTTCCTATTTACAAGTAACTTCAGCAAGTACTTGTATTACTTAGGCAAGTTAGTCTTTGTAAATAATATTTTAATCTATTTTAAATGTGTGTTTATGTTGTTTAAAATGTCGATACGTTGTCTTCCGGTGCTTATTGTGGCTAACTTGACGCTTTTCGTGCGCTTCCTATTTGAAGTGCTGCTGATTGGGGTTTAATTTCTACCTCTCATTAACATGTGCTCAAGCTGCACTGTGGAAACTTTATTTTATTAAATTAATCGTAATGAAAAATCCTAAATAGATCCAACGTGATGCATTTTCTCAGAGCAGCGTGATGTGTTCATTAGATTAGATTGAGTTTATCTCCACTCTAAGGAGGTACTTTTAAATGCTGACATGTAATGGCAATAAATCATCTAAGGGGGGCGCTATGTTATTGTTTAAAACAACTTGCAGCAACAGGTAGAGAAAACGCACCCCTTCATAATATTGAAAACCTGCAGCTCGTAATGTTACAGAATGTCTTCAGGTGTAAAATTGCCATAATTTTAAATTCAAACATACAAAAATACCTGATTTTATTTTTATTTTAAAATAAATCATCCTTTTTTGAGTGTGAAACAACCCAAAATGACAGAAAAATGCTTTTAAATTTGAGTTTTAAATTTGTCTTTAAGTTTGTGTGACATGTTTATTTGTAAATTATGGAATAGATTTACAGTCATTGATCTTTATTGCTGTAAAATTCTGTCTGAACTTCATGGACCGCTCAGACAAAATGATATGGTTGAAATAGTTTTCATTTAACTGAACAGGTCGTCTCAGTCAAAACAAGTAGATTCACTCATTTGTTAGAAAGTAAATTAATAGAAAGGGCAAATATCCTTTGTATTCATTTGAAAGAAATAATGTTACATATTTAATAAAAATATTATGAATGATATAAAGACAGCAAGTTTGTTTATAGATCAGTAATAAAATTCAATCTTAAAAATGCTCTTGTGGTGGCGCAGGGGCAAAGCACAACCCATGTATTGAGGCCTTAGTCCTAATGCCAGTGGTTGCAGGTTCGATTCCTGGCCTGGTGACATTTGCTGCATGTCTTCCCCATCTCTCATAACCCTCTTTCCTGTTGAACTACTTTTGAGTAAAGGCCACTAGAGCCAACAAAACCTTTAAAAAATGCTCCTGTGATAATATTTAATAATCCAAATACTAAGCAACAGTGTTTAAAATTCTGATTTTTATTTTAGTGTAACTTAATCCATCCATTTTCTTATACCCTTGTGGGGTCAGGAGGGTTGCTGGTGCCTGTCTCCAGCTGACATAGCAGGCAAGAGGCAGGGTACTACACCCTGGACAGGTCACCAGTCTGTCACAGGGCAACACAGGACAAACAACCATGCACACACACACACCTGGGGACAGACAGTCATGTTTTTGGACTGTGGGACGAAACCAGAGTACTGGGAGAAAACCCACTGGGAATTGAACCCAGAACCTTCTTGCTTCAAGGCAACAGCTCTACCAACTGCGCCACTGTGCAGCTCTGTGCAGCTCTTTAATTTTCTTGCTTTTTTCTTATAGATGCAACTTATTTTTATACCTTCTATAAAAACAATTTTTAATATTTTAAGCCTAAAAAAATTAGTTCACCTAACTAAATTATTTGGAAAATGTTGCCTTTTTTATTTATTTATTTATTTTTTATTTTTTTAACTTTTATCAGCAAAGTCATTTTTTTCTTATAGATGAATCTATAAGAACCATTTTTAGTGTGTATTTATATATATATAAATATAATTGTAAGAATGTATCTAATTATTAGTGTAAGATGTCTTTCATAATTTTATTTTCAAATTTAAAAAGATAAAAAAGTAGTCCTTAAAAATAACCAAAAATTCCTTATTTATTTCATTTATTTGTTTTCTATCAGGGTAATATGTTTACGGTGTATTTTTATTTGTATTTGTATTTTCTCTGTTATGTTTTCATTATGTTTCACTTATTTATTTAATCTGAATTTTCTGGTTTTAAATCTAGAGAGACTCATCCAGGCGTTTGTCTTCCTTTACATTTTCCTCCTGTAAAGCTGAATTGAATTGAATTTGAATTGTCTTGCAAATAAGCTTCTCTTCTTAGAACCAAATATTGATATCAGCCCAGAGTTTCAGGTCGGTGAATCCACGTTGAGGAAGAGTCAGCATGTTGTTTAAAAACTTGTTAATCTGCTCAGATCCAGGTGTGAATCTGTCATCCAGGTAACGTTTCCCTGTCTCCTCAGTTCCAAAGCTGCTGGTTGATCTTCATGTCAAGCTGCTAAGGAAGATTGGGAAGTCGGTTTCTGCAGACAGATGGGAGAAATACCTCGTCAAGGTAAGCGCTCAGCCTTCAGGCTGCTTAGTGGAAAAGGATGAAGTTTGCTTTTATGATTTTAAATGTCTGCAGAAGGAAGAATGGAAAAAGGAAATGTGGTTTTCAGACTGTTTTATGCAATATTTACCTACTTTATGTATCACATTCTGATTTTTAGCACTTTAGCTTCAAGTTCAACTGGCCCTCTGGTTCATTTGTTTGAAGATCATAGAATCCAGCTTCTTGCCATCAGGTCAAAGATGAAACTGAGAAATGCTTTTGCATCAATCAATCCTGAACCTGAGCGCTAACCAGGATGAATTTCTATTTTTTGCTAATTTTTCCAGAGTGACTGTTTGTATATAAATATATGTAAAGACCAATGCTTTAATGCAGAACAAATCTCAGACTTGACGTATCATAAAAAAGCTAAGTTCTGTTTTCAGCTGCAGATTTTGCTTTAAAAATCAACATTTTCCCAATTTCATAAATTAAATCAAGACGCAGTTGGTTATAAGTACGTGAAACTTTGCATGTCTTGTTTCTGTATCATTCAATAATAATAATAATGAAACAAAGTATCTGACATTACTGAAGTTAATAGTTTAATGGTTTCTCTTGGTAAATAGTTTTTTTCTCCAGGAGTTTCAGTCAGTTTTGTTTTTGTTGCAGATATGCCAGGAGTTCAACACAACCTGGGCGTGGGAACTGGAGCAGAACGGCTACAAGGAGCTGTCCATGGAGTGCAAGACAGACATCCTGAAGGTAAGAGTCTGCTGGGCCCACTAATGAAAGTTTACTTCTTTATGCGTTTAAACTGAATTTAATTTCAGTTGATAAAACTTAGCAGGTTTGGATTCATGACCCAGTCCCTTCAGGATTTCATGATCGTTTGTATTTTCTTTGTTTCTTACAATAAAAATCACAGATTTTGTGGTTTTATTTTAGAAACATTTGCAAGGTTTTTTGCAATGTTTCTTCCTCAGTAATCTGCTTCTATCTGCATATAGAAGAAAAACATGACAAGCAGACGGATTGGACACAAACGTTTTTAGTCTTTGAAGAATTTAATTAGCTCAATTTTTGTTACTGGGCTTTAAGTTGACATTAAGTAAGGATGAGGCAGCAGCGACTGAGTATAATGGCCTCGCTAAGAAAATAGCAAAATAAAATTACAAAAATAAAGTAAAAAAATTATGACTTTATTCTCAAAATATTACATTGTTGCAATATTAGGGCTTCATTCTTGTAATAGTACTACTTTATTTTCTTATAACTTTATTTTTGTAATATTTTAACTTTATTCTGATAGTATTGTGATTTTATTCTTGTAATATTTAAACTTTATTCTTGTAAAAAAATTTCCATCATTTTCCCTATTTTCCTTGTTCTTGCTTCAGTATTTATGTGAGATCCAATTTGATGAGAACGTGAAGTTCAAGACCGCCATCAACGATGAAGATCCGGACAAAATGCGGCTGCAGCCGATTGGCCGGGACAAGGACGGGCAGATGTATTGGTTCCAGCTGGACCAGGACGACAACGTGCGGGTTTACGTAGAGGAGCAGGACGACCTGGACGGCGCGTCGTGGAAATGCATCGTTAGGTCGGCTGGCATCTAAATGCTCCAGCCACAGTAAAACAATGTCTTGATGTCTGCAGACTGATCAGTAAAATGTGTTTATTTTTCCTCCTTTAGAACCAGAAATGACTTAGCTGAAGTTGTCGCTCTCCTAAAGACACAAATCGATCCCGAGCTGCTGAAGAGAGACCTGGAACAAAAAAGTAAAGCAGAGGGGGAGGCAGACAAAGACAAAGGTTGGACTGCTGAAGCCCCATTTTTACACGCTGATCATGAAATAATCAACCACAGGAGCACTTTTGGAGATCAATAGAGGAAAAATCCACTGCACAGTTAGTTTATTCCAGTAATTTTGTTCAAATTCTTTCAAAATAAGCAATAAATCAATTAATTGCGTTATAAGGCACAATCATTTTCTCTACAGACAACAGTCTTTAGAGAGACCTGCCCCTCTAATGTCATTGAAAAGCCGACATTTTTGAGAAACGCTGCAAGATAGTTTACATTACCTGTCCCTTTTGCCTGTTTTCCCTGTCTAAGCTGAAGGATGATTATTTTTCAGAATGCAGTTTTGGTCACGGAGATTTCATAATCCATTTTAATTATTGTTGTTTTGTTTATTTTTAAAATGTTTTCCAGTTCCACTGTAAATGTTTTTTAGAATTTTTTTTTATCTTTGATACCAGATACCAGAATTAATAAGCCTGCACTTTTATTAAGTTATTAAGTTGAAAATGGTCTCAAAATAACATTTTATCATTTATCGCCATAATTTCTGGGACAATTTATTGTGACAATCCTACATAGAGTCTTGATGAATTAGTTTTTTGCCTATTAGCTGTAACACTAATATTAATGGAAAGTTTAGTGGAAGAAAAGAATCACATTCTATTTATTTACAAAATATTTTGATTTAAAAATCCAAAATACATTTCAATTAATTTTTGAACTGAAATTCAAAGATTTGCATTTGAATTAAAATGTTAAATTTTGAATTGAATCCAAACCCATTTCATGCTTTATGTCTTGTTTTTAAGGCAACACAAAAAAGGCTGACGATACGTCGGATGAAGACCTGAAAGACAAAAATGAAGGAACAGAAAACTCGGAGGTGAAACCAGAAAGTAAACTGCCACTAAATGGCGTCATCGAAGCTAAACTGGAGCCAGAACTCGTTTCAGAAACCGTCAGCACCAAGGCTCAAAGCATCAAAGAGGAGCCAATGGAGGCGGCGGACTCCAAACCGCCTCCGACCGACCCGACGCCACACTGCACCGCTGTAAAGGGAGAGGAGGTGAAGAAGAGCGGCTCGGAGGAGATCCAGCAAACCCTGAAAAATGACCAGCAGGCCAAAATCCCACTGAAGAAACGGGGAATGAAGTTCAGCGAGGACTTTGGTGAGAAAAACGGCACCATCACAGCACAAAATCTCTCTGTTCCCGAGTCAAATCTGGAGCAGAAAGTTCAGAGAATAAACGATCAGGTGAACGGCGAAGTTTTGCCTCCAGTGGACGGAGAACCCGAGAAACAGAGAAGTAAAGATAAACCCACGGAAAACCTTCCTGCTGCTGCTGCAGGTGGCAATAAATCACTCCAGGATGACTCGACAAGAACTGAAGAAAAGAAAACTGAAAACAGAGAAACAAACAAACCTCCCCAAGACGCAACGCTGGCGTGTGAAGACGGGGACAAATCATCCAATCAGGAAGAAGAGGAGAAAATGGACGAATCCGAACCAGCAGAGGTCAAAGCAAAAGAAACAGGTGAAGCAAATCCTGATGGTAACATCAGGATTTCCATTTCCTGTGTGGAAACGGACGTATCCGAATCGAAAAAAGAGTTGAGTGTTGGCGAGTCGGATTCATCTGAAGCGAAAGACATGAAGGAAAGCAACAAAACTAAAGACGTGGATCTTGCACAGGAAGTTTCTGCAGAGAAAGATCTGACGAAAAAAGATCCTGTAGAGAAAGATCAGACCATAAAAGATCCCGTAGAGATGGTTCAGACGACAAAAGATCCTGCAGAGATGGTTCAGACGACAAAAGATCCTGCAGAGATGGTTCAGACGACAAAAGATCCTGCAGAGAAAGTTCAGACGGTAAAAGATCCTGCAGAGAAAGTTCTGGTGACAAAAGTTCCTGCAGAGAAGGATCCTACAGAGATAGACTCTGCAGAGAAAGATTCAACGGAAAAAGATCCTGTGGCGAAAGATCCAACAATAAAGGAGCTAATGACAAAGGATCCTGCAGAGAAAAATCCTCCAAAGAAAGATCCAATGATCCTTTCTCCTGTAGAGAAAGATCAGACAAAAAACTTCTCTGCAGAAAAAGATCCTGCAGAGAAAGATTCGACAAAGACTTCTGCAGAGAAAGATCCTGTGGCGAACGAACAGTTGATAAAAGAGTCAATGACAAAAAATCCTGCAGAGAAAGTTTCTCCAGAAAAAGATATTGTAGAGAAAGATTTGACAAATGTTTCTGCAGAGAAAGATCCTACAAAGAAAGATTTGACGACAAAAGATTCTGTAGAAACAGATCAGACAAAAAATGTCTCTGCAGGAAAAGATTCTGTTGAGAAAGATCTGGTGACAAAAGTTCCAGTGGAGAAATATTGTGCAGAGAAAGATTCAACAAAAAATGTTGTGGCAAAAGATCCAACAATAAAAGATTTAACGGTAAAAAATCCTGCAGAGATGGAGTCTGCAAAGAAGGATCAGACGACAAAGATTTCTGCAGAAAAGGGCCCTGTGGCGGAAGATTTGACAAAAGATCCAACAAAAGGTCCTACACAGAGAGATTCGACAAAAAAAGATTCTGTAGAAACGGAGTCTGCAACGAAGGATGTGCTGAAAAAAGTTTCTGCGGAGAAAGATCCGGCAGAAAAGGATCCTGTGGCTAAAGATGCAATGAAAACAGGTCCTGTAGAGAAAGACCTGTCGGAGAAGGATTCAACAGTAAAGGATCCTTCAGATAAAGATCCTGTGCAGAAATCTGCTGAACCTAAAGCTACGATAATTCAGTGTGCTGATGCAAAAACAGACAAACCAATAATCACTGACAAATCAGGAGAGAGAACAGAAGCACCTCATGTAAACAAAGACAAATCAGAGTCAGGTACACCAAACAGAAAGAGTGACGACGTTGAAGAGGTGAGTTCAGAAAATCGACAAGACGTAAAGAAAGATTCAAACTGCAAAGATGGTACGATATGCGACTCCAGGCTTACAGGAGAAGAATCGGGTGATGAAAACAATCGGACGAAGATGCAAACTGATGAGAAAAACTCTGAACAGAAATCCTGCGAACAGACAGATAAACCATCTAGTCCTGCTGAGAAGAAAAAATCCCCCAAAGAAACAGGATCTAAACGGAAAGAGGAGGAAGTGTCGTTGACAATCAAGGAGCCACCATCAGAAAATAAGAAAGAAATTTCGCCTGACAAAGGAAAGGAGGATGATTCCCAAAAACGTGAAATAACGGATGAAGAAGCTCAGAAGCAAAACAAAACTGAGTCGAGTCCAACAAATTCAAGCAAAGAATCAGAGTCCTCAAAAGAAATGCCAGAAAAACAAACCAAAGGAGCAGCCGGCGACGCGCCTGCAGACTGCAGCAGGAAACCAGAACAGGTGCGGAACGGCGACGGGGGCTCTCCACCACAAGAGGGCGCACGTCGACGAAATAGGCCACCGGCGCACAGAAGAAGAGCCGAGCTGCAGAGGGAGGATCGCCACGGTGACTCGGAGTCGGACACGAACACGGGGCGGTGTCTGAGGCGGTCGCCGAGGATCTCCAGGCCAACGCAGAAGGCCGTGGAGGTTCAGGAGAAGAAGATGGAGAAACTCCCGCCCACTCCTTTTGCTCAGGACCATGACAAAGACCAAGACAAGAAAGAAGAGGAGGAGGAAGAGGAAAAGGCGGATGTGAAGACTGTTCAAAAGAAACCCAAAGAGAAAAAGGCTGATCAGGAGGGCCAGCCAAAACCCAAAGTAAGACCAATATCTGGTTATTATTTCTGATCATTTTTAAACTGATCCAGGGATTTTTATATATATTTTTTTTTTGTTACTAAATTGAATTGTTTTGTTTTCAGGGGAGAAAAAGGCGGAGAACTCGGTGGTCCAACACTCGAACGCGCAGGAAAAGGAAAAACTCTGACGACGAGGACGAGAACAGCGAGGAGTCATTGAGCGAAGAGGAGGAGAGCGAGGAGGAGGATGACAGCGACGAAGACTACAAGGTCGAGCGAAGCCGGAAGAGGAGGAACCGGAACCGGGAGAGGCGGAGCTCGGACTCGTCCACGTCTTCCGACGACGATCTACCTCCAAACGACGACCCGTGCAAACACTGTGGTCTTCCAAATCATCCTGAGCTGGTGGGTGGGCGGGGCCTCTGCTGGTCTGCAAACCTTCAGCCATTCCTTGAAATATTTAGTTTTTTTCTTGATCACCAATTAATGCAGACAAAACAAACAGTACAGATTAGCAAACAGATAATCTGTAAAATAACCAATCAGATAAGCAAAGAGAACAAAGAGCAACAAAGGAGAAACGGACAAAACACAGAACAAGTGTTGTCACAACAAAAATGAAATTCTTTATAAATGGGTTAGAATGCTGTTTTTCTTTTGTAATCATTTCCAGAGTTTTGCATTAAGACCTGCAACTAACAATTATTTTACTAATCGTTTATCCTGACAATTAATTGATTAATCAGATGAGAAAAGTCAGCACAATCTGAAGAAATTGTTAATTTTGTTGATATTTTGATATTTCTCACTTAAGCCTTTTTCAGAAATATTTTAAAAGATGTAAATAAACGAAACGAGCTGATCATATAATTTCAGTCGTAGGGATTTTTAAGATCCAGTTAAAAGTATTTTTCAGTCATGAGTCAAAGATACTTTAGCTTTAGTTAGTTATGTTTTGTTCATTGCAGCGATGGGTATTTTATTTATTTATTTTTTTAATAAAACTGCATTTTAGGGTAAAAATGTCAGATAAAACCAAAAATTGTCATTTTTACTGAAAATCCAAAAACTGGGTACCTGATTGAACGACCTCTAGGTTAATAGAACAAAAAGAGACAAAAACATCCTTGAAATGATAACGTTTATATAAAACGGAGCAACAAAATGTATGAGGATGCAAACAGAATCTTTTGTGTCTTGATCTGACCGTCTCCTGCAGATCTTGCTGTGCGACTCGTGTGACAGCGGCTACCACACCGCCTGCCTGCGGCCGCCTCTCATGGTCATCCCGGACGGAGAATGGTTCTGCCCGCCCTGTCAGCATGTACGTTCATGCCAGACTGTCGCTAACCAAAGATACAAGTGGGAAAGAGCTCTGAATGAGGGATGGATGTTCTTTTGTTTCCATCTGCAGAAGCAGCTCTGCGACAAACTGGAGGAGCAGCTGCAGAACCTCGACGCCTCATTGAAGAAGAAGGAACGGGCCGAGAGGAGGTGGGACTTTCTTCTTCTGCTTTCAATTATGGTTCTCATTTCTGCTCTCCCACTGACCCACTACAGCCTTCTGTTGTCATTGTTTATGTGCTTCTTTACACCAGAAAATTATTGATTGATTGACTAATGACTGATTGGTCTAACTAAACAGGAAGTCTGCTTTTGACCAAATATCACTACAGCAGCTTTAGCCCCACCCACTGGCTTTAAGAAGGAAGACCAACATTCCCCACTAGGGAAAATCATGTATCTTGCAACATATCAGATTTTTTTTATTATTTTTATCAATTACTTATTTGGTTTTAAATGTAATTTTGTATTTGTTTACATATTTAAATAATTAACATACTTCAGTAGTCATTCAATGAGTTGCTTATTTTTTTTAATATTTGGCATTTTGGGACCTCCATACTTGACCGTCTTTCATTTGATGCATTTAATAAGTTCACATATATTGTGCTGTATGTTTTAAGCTATAATCACTGAAGATATTCCTGGCAAAAAAACACCTTAAAATAAATTTTTAGGGTTTAATGACATGTACAAAGAAAAATAATCCATCTATAGTTTGTTGTTTGGTTTTTCTGTTTTAAAACAAAATCGCAAGAAAAAAAACTCTTCTTTCCTTTTTCAAATACAACCGCTGTTCAATCCACAATTTCCCAAATGGTGCACCAACAAAATATAAAGTTGTTTTTGCTTTAACTATTAAAATAAAATAAAAAAATCTGAAATTCAGTTTTTCTCATTTATTTTATAAACAACTAAAACACAATTTTTTCCCTTTATTATATTTTGAAATGGAAAAACCAAAAAAAAACAAATCATAGTTTTGAAATTAGGTTTTGAACTGCAGCAGCTGTTTATAATTGCTTGATGCGTTTTGAACTTGTGCAGGAAGGAGCGGCTGATTTATGTGGGAATCAGTGTTGAGAACATCATCACGCCTTCTGTAAGTACAAACCAGGCCTGGTCGGACACCAAGTGGCTCGCCTGCTCATGTTTGTGAAATAAAAGATGTTGAACCCGTCGCAGGTGGAAGTGGAGCAAGAAAAACCTGAGGTCGTCATCAAGGAGAAGAAAGAAGCAAAGCGGAGTAAGAGCTGGGGTCGCAGATCGACGAGGGCCAAGAAAACCATCAGCTACAGGTCTGAGGCAAACATTAATACAACTGTCAAGTTTTTTGCTCTAAACCACCTCAGCTTCTGCCCAAACTTGAAAAAGCTTGTTTCCCTCAAAGAAATGCAGAAACCACTCATCTCAGCGACATCTTTTATTTCTTCTCTTCTTGTCTTTAGATTATTTCAGTTGACAGTGTAAGACCACCATGACTTCACATAAGTAGTCAGAGTCACAGAGCAGGTTGAAAACCTACAAACAAATGAAAAAAAAACAAAAAAACAATTACAGGTCACAATGAACTAATTAACTAGTTTTCCAGGTAATGTTAACAATCTACTTTTAAGTTGACAGTGAATGAACAAACAAACTACATTCCAAACACATAAAACCCATTACATCACCAAGGCTAATTTGGTCTTCTGAATGCAGATTAAATGATATAAACTGGGCATAACGTCCAGTTCCTACCAGTGGTCTTTGTCTGCAGAGATCATTGTGAGCACAGGTGTGCCAAGTTACCTTAGAGACTTCAGATGGGCCTGAGTCGTGAAGGGGATGGGTGCGCTTGATTCTCTGTGATGCGTGTCCCAGTTGGGTGGAAATGGCAGATGCACTCACAAGNGTACCATTTGCCGTTTTAANTTGACAACAACAGA